TCGCTAATGATTAGTAATCATTAATTTTTTAATTGCGGAGTTGCGGAGCTTGCGGAGTTTACCCACCTATTCTATAGAACATCCTCATTTTTTTACAGTACATGTTAAACAAGTTTATATAAAGCACATTATTTTTTGTGGTTTTGCCTTTATTTAATAAGGACTATATGTATATGTAATACGTGGATTAAGATGTTTGATCATAGTAATTATTATTTTTTTAACTTAATAAAAAAACTTGTTTAGCTGCTTAAAATTATATTTCTCGGAGATTTTTATAGGGCTTTATAATTTATTGCTATAGCCACCCAGGTCAAAATCCCGAAAATCAAATCCCGAAACTTAAATGTCGCGTCATGCGATGTCGGGGTTCCAATGTTCAAACTCCACATATGATTAGTAATATAGATTACCTATAAATTACTAATCATAGGTGGAGTTTGAATATTGGAACCCCGATATCACGCGGCGCGACAATTAAGTCTCAGGAGGTAGCGATACAATCGCTATGGCGATAAAAATCCTTTTAATTAGGCATGCAAAGTTAATTGATTAGTTCTCGTAACCCAACCTGCCGGGTCTATTTAAGAAGTTCCATGTTACGAGAACCAATTAATTAAATTTCTGTGTAGCTTCATAGAGATTTTGTGTTTTTAATTTTTTTTAAAATTTAGTTGTTAATCTTGTTAAAATTACTACGCATTATATCTTTTTTAATTAGTTTATATATATATGATTTGCAAAGTATTATTTTGAATATAACGTTATTTTTTAGTATTAAAATAAAATTTTTTTATATAAGTTAGTAAATCGTTATCAAGAAATCTTTGCTTAAAGATTAAAAAAAAAATTAAAAATGTTACAATAGAAATATTTAAAATTTTAGCACATTGAAACTATAAAATCAAATTGCTAAATTTTTTTTATTCTATAAACATATAAAATTTGAATAATAATTTTTAGTTGAATTTGATTAGATATTTGTTAAAATATTTTTACTGTAAAATTTAATTAAATTTTTTTAATTGAAATTGGACTATTGGAACTTGGTCCAATACAATTAAGTCTAGATTTCAATTAATCTTTATTGAAAGTAATAGGATAAAATAAGGTTATACCATAATTTTGCAAGAACTTTTTTTTATTAAAATGCAGAAATTAAGTTTATTATATTACAAAGATTTTTAAATTTCACATTACACCTAATTATGCAATTATATTAGTTGCGTAGAAAGGTGGTTATAATTGGGCACGTAACATGATCGAACTGCATCGAAAAAACTAATTAAATTTTTCAGGAGTCAAATGAAACCAGAATAATTTAAAACAGAAATATCTAACATAAATTGTAATACCTTACTTGTTATTGAGAATCTTGGCATACCGTATTATCGTGAAATACCACGCAGGGGTGAAATTACGAATTTGGCCTAAATTAGCTTAATTCAGGCCATTATTCTAAATAACACTCATGCACGTTATTTCGTATATGTAGGGTTGAAAATTACATTTTACAATCTTACATTTTCATATAATTTTGTGTAATTTTACGAGTTTCAAACCTTTTTACTAATTACATGGAAACCGTTTTACCAAACCTACATAAAATTACGCAAAATTACGTAAAATTACGGTAATTTAACAACCCTACGTATATGTAATCCTGTGTAGAATATATTGTAAGAAACTTCAAAAATATTATTATGCAGGAAATATGCGACTTAAACAGTGCACAAGACGCATGAATTTATTATTTTATTCAATTCGTGTATACAAGGCTCATACATTCCTTATTTAATAAAAAAAAGAGTAATTTTGTAATACTCCTCTGGATTATAAGATTATAAAAGAAAAAGGAATGATTTATCATACAAAAGATTATTCATACAAAAGATTATATATTTTATAAGCTATTACAGTTACGTAAAGGTTGGAAGGAAGCAAAAGATCAGAACATGTATGTGGATTTGTCGAAACAAGAAAGCAATCTAGATATATTACTAATATTTATGTATATGTCAAATTAAATATTTTGAATCCATCAAAAAATTATTGTAATTTTTTTAAAAAGTGATTTCTTGAAAAGGTGATAAAAAATTTTTGGAGAATAATTTTCAACATAACATTACATTATGATAAGAATCTCCAATTACATGTTTTGCGTCCCACCGAAGGAGAAAGTAGTCTGTTAAAAGCAGCAGGACTTAAGTCAACATCATTTTTTTTACATCCTGCACATCGATCCACAACCGTAACTGTGACTGATTTCGAACCGCAAGAAACTTGTAGCTTCCTACCGCAGTTTTTATTCTTGTTTGGATTGTTGTTTGGTGAAGAGCCGAATAGTATAGAAGATAGTGCACAAATCAAATCACTGTTTGTATTGCGCCTACCGCATGCACCAAGGCCTACATCGTAGAATGTGATATCACCAGTATTGTCTCGTTTTTCAAGATAGGAAGCGTTTCTAGGTTCCAGCTCATTAGGTAGACTATCCAAATTATCAGCAGTACTAAGGTCAGAAAAATATGCAATAATGCACAAAAAAATCGTTATAAGAAATAAAAACCGAGTGCATAATGAATTTGAAGTCATTTTTTATTCTTTTGAGAGTTGTGAAGAAGAATAATAATAATTAATAGTACTAACGGTTTTTTTTTCTGTAGAAAATAGAGAAAAGATTTGGCCTTTATATGCGTATGAACGATATAACAAAATTTCAATACGTGGAACACCGTAATACATCGTTTTAGGCAAAAGCATTAGGGAGAAGAAATGTGTATATTATGCACCTATGTATGGTAACAGTTTTATGGGTGTAGGGATATCTAAATTTGCGGAATTTGTTTGATCTTCCGCCAAATGCGCCAAAACAAGAGATCATCTATATTATAAAAGAATTTCTTTGGATAGTGGATTAGAGAAAATACCATGACACATTTGCATACATGAACTAGCCTCATCGTTTTTCGAGCAATTCAATATGTGTGTATGTGCGCTTATAAACAATATCAAAATTCTATTGTGTACTGTACATAAGATATTCACCAGATTAATATCATAAGCAAATCTTTGTTATTATATAATTAAAAATTACAATAGATCTTTAGTCATTACAACCATTGCTACCATTTCAACCATTTCAGGAGGTTGGACAAAACAATAACGTTAATGAACAATGGGGGTATATGCATATGTCGATATGTCAAATCTGAATAATGCATGCATGTCGTCTTAAATTGCACACCCATCAATCAATATTCGAATTTAAATTTTACTTATAATGGAACTAGGAAGAATGGTTTTTTAAATAGCGTTTATCGACTTTAACTTTACGTCTTGGCATAAAATTTGAATCAAAATTTGAATCAAAATTTGAATCAAGGTTTTTTTTTTTTTGAAATTTTCAAAAAAAAACAAAAGCCAAAATGTTCTTGATAATATCCTGAATTTGATACCCCCGCTTTTCATTGCATCGTCTTCTTTTCCGCATTTTTACTTATTAACTATAGGGCCATGTAATGAAAAAGTTAAACACAACATCATGTAATATAATTTGCATATGCATATAGATCTTTTTTTTTTTGTTTTTTTTCCTAATGTATTTGGACACTTTATCCTGGACGAGCTTTAGCTGCCTTTTCTTTTTTGACCATTCCTGTATTTAAACCTGTTATAAACTTAAAACTTTAATGAAAATTTTTCCTATTAAATTGTTATCAATAGATCCAAAAAGAGAAAATAGAGAACGATTTTCAAAATGACATTCCGCAATTTTATAAAAATTATATTCTATAAACGGTACCTAGTAAGTCAGGTCATTCCTAATTTCTTTAACTGTTAATGTACGTACGTACGTACGTACATCCGTTCGGTAAATGTGTTAAAACCCTTATTCTGTATGTACGTACGTACGTACCTACTTAACGATAACGATAATAAAATGCCATTTAAAAATTGGGCGCACACATGCATATTTATTTATATTATAAGCATGATTTAGTACCCTATGTACTACATGTTCGAATTTGAGGGGCTACTTACGTACTCACGTACAACATACGTACGTACGTACGTACGTACGTATGTACCTTCGCGCGCATTTTTTTTTTAGCCAGTAAACGAAATTAAGTAATACTAATGGATCAGCTAGGAGAGCTTGATTAACGTAGCAAAACTAAACAAAGTTGGTATCCGTATGTATATACTTTATTTGGTTAAGTAATGGTAAATCGGTTTTAGCTTAGGTGCCGCACGAAATGTAAGATACTACTAATGAAACGCAGCATCCCATTAATTTTACCGTTGAACAACTTATAACAATTTTCCTTTTTTTCGTTTTGTGCAAAAAAGCCCGAATAAAGCGTGGTGTTAATATATGATCTACATACTGCATAAACTATCACTCTGTTTTAGCCAACCAACTGTACTACCTAAAAAATTTCGCTGGCCAATCAGATTTCAAGATCAGGTGTGACGCAGAAGAAACGCAAAAAAATAAAAACAATACATTTTATCTATGAAACCACCTTCTGCGCACTAACAAAAAGTTTTCCTTGCGAAATTTAGTACTAATGAAGTTCTTTCTAACTTAACTTAATACCCTAATCTAACAGTGAAATTTTTTTAGCTAGATCAGTTCAGTCAATTTTGAAGATCATCGGTCTGACAACCCGGAACTTTATTGCTTGCCAATTTGCCACGTGTTGAAGCCTAGTACAGTATAACCTCGATATAACGAAACCCTGAGCTGTCGATATATCAAGGTTTCGATATATTGAGGTACCTTACTATATTAATTCATAAGTTCAGCTAGAAATATTCGTTATAGTGGCTGATTCGGTTTATCGAGGTTCGTTATATCGAGGTTATACTGTAAAAAATTTCTCACATGAAACGATCGTATAAAATAATTAAAAAAATTCCGTTATTGATTAATATCAGGATCTTACTATTATGTTAGGGTTAGAGGGCTATGGTAATCCAAAATTTCACGGAAACTTAGTTATGTTAGTATGCAGAAAGCAAAAGTTTGTTTAAAAATGATTTTTGGATTGTTTTTGTTTTTTGTATCTTTCATATTGCATCTAGATCTCTAAATTTGATTTTCTAGAAAAGTTTTTTTAGACTGGTGTTTTAAATCCTGTTTGTTGTACAGAAGCTGACGCATAAAGCGTTGTTACGCATCATGTAGGATGTTAGCCCATTATAGATACAAACTGGTACGCACTATACGTAGGTAGTTAACTACATAAACCAATTTAATTAGTTACATCTAGAGTAATTATAATAAAAGTTTATAACTAATTTCATTAATAGAGTAAAACTTTGGCTGTCTTAATGCTAACCAATTTTATTTGAAAATAATATAATTCTAACAAAAATTATCAAATTTTTTTTTACTAAATATTGGCTTATATTTTAGAATAAATATTGGTTTATATTTTAGAATAAATATAATTTATACCAAAAATATTTATATTCAGGATGCTATATCTCAAAAAATTAACTAAGAAACAGAAGCTAGATGTACTAAGTAAATATTTAAAACTTTGTGTAATCTAAAATTTAGGTCTTTATATCTAATATTTAACCTTTATATTTAATCTTTATTTTATAAATTAACTATTTTGAATTAATTTAATTGGTGATTCTCCAATCAACTAAACAAAAATTTTTTAATATATAAATTTTACTATAAGCCTAAAAATAAAGTGTTCTATTTAAAACTTTTTTTTTACTAAGTAAATTACTCTTGGGCTTCTAACAAAGTTGTAAAACTCATCAAAATGCATTTAATAATAGTAAGAACATTAAAATTGGTTTGGTGGTTCTTGATAAATCTTTAAAAAATATTTCACTAACATATAAAATTTTTTCAAAAAAATTGATTTTTTTAAAATATTTTGTATATTAGTGAAAGATTTTAGTAAGAAAAAAAGTTTTAAATAGAAGCATTCTATTTTCAAGCTTATAATAAAATTATATATAAAAAAACTATTTAGTTGACTGAAGAATTACCAATTAAGTAATTTTATAAAATTAAGATTAGAATTTAAATTAGCTCAAATTAGCTAGATTTTATATTATAATTTTGTAATAATTTATATACTGTATATCTATCAATATTTTTTTAGTATTATAATAAGGCTTTGCTTATATCTTTATTAGAGGTCAGTGCTGATCATCAAAACACAAATATTCTGAAACACAAAATTATTAAAAACTACAAAAGACACAAAAAGCTACTAGGAAACAAATCTCAGAGCTCTAAGAAAAGAAGAAGAGAACTACAAGAGACACTCAGTCTCTTAGGAGACTTGAGTAAAAGGAACAGAAGTAGCAAAGAAATAAAAGAAGTTGTGAAAGATTGTTGATATTTTTTTGTATTTAGCGAATTTTTGGGGAATCAGCTTTGACTCTGAATTGCAGATCTGTTTTGGTAGTACAAGAATCACAACGCGTAATAAAAAATAAACAAAGAAATCACACCAAAAACTACATGACAAAACTAAGCAATGGAGGTAAACAATCGCAACAATTAGCAACAACAAAAAACAATAACTAAAAAACAACAAGTCATGTGAAGCAGAAATCAGTACAAGTTGCTAGAAAAGACCTGTTACAAAAAAAGAGTTATTAGAAGCTATCCAGGATATAACAACAGCAATAACTGATGAAATAATAAACATGCAAGTAAAACAGACAATGATGGAATATACTGGACAACAACTTCTCCCAGAAGAAGTAGCCAAAGCACAAATAGAAAAACTTTTCAAAGAATTTCGAAGATATAACAGAGGAGAATTAGAGTATAGTAAACTTGCACTTATAGAAAGAGACTATGAATGTTTTCATAAAGCAATACAAAAATGAGAAAACCCAGTTGTTAAAATCATAAAAGAAGAGATAGTCTGTATTATGGTAGAATTAAGAATGGGTGACAGATTAAGAAGATTACTAGAAGATAGAAAAAGACAAGATGCTAAAATAAGGTCGAAATTAGAATTAGGATGGAGGAAAAAACTTCAAGAACAAAGAGAAAATTGACAAAAACAGCACAATAAAATAGCTCTAAAGTCTATAATACAATAATTCAAAGAATCTGTCAAGACTATTGCAGCAAATTAACAAGAAATTAAAAGAAAAGTGGAAAAAGAAAAGAAGAAGATGCAAGTTCAACAAAAGAAAAAGCAAGCTGATGAAATAAAGTCAAAGTTAAATCTAGATTGAAGTAAAAGACTTCAAGAACAAAAGAAAACTCGACAAAGACAGCAGAATCAAAAAGTACTAAAAACTCTAATATTACAGTTTAAAATATCTGTTGAATCTATGGCATTTAGACGAGAAAAAGAAAAAAGAAAAATTAGAGAAGAAAAGAAAAAAAGAAGCAAAAAACAAGACATTTTAGATCTTACAGAAACAAAAATGCGAAACAAGATTCAAGAAGAAACAAAACCAAAAATTGTACTAA